ATAGAGAGAGAGAGAGAGAGAGAGAGAGAGAGAGAGAGAGAGAGAGACTCACGTGCAAGTGGACTTGTAGGGGTCCATAGCGTCAGCGACGGTCATGGTGCCGTACTTTTTGATGCCGCAGTCCACGAGGTCGTGTGTGTTGTTCACAGTGCACATGTGGTTCAGAGCTGTGAACAATCGTGAAAATGGGTGGTTGGTGGATGCTCTGGTGTGGTTCGCTTCTTCTTTCCTATGAAACATCTAATCGTCCTTATCTGCCTTTCTTCTTTTTTGTTTGTTTGTTACTCTCTTGTGCACCTGTAATCCTCAGTTGCGAGCGCCGTAGAACTTCTATTAAAACTTTAAAAACAAAAACAATCATGAAGTCGTATAAGACTAACGTCTCTGTCTTCATTTCAGAGTCAACTAGGGCTAAGTGAGCAAAGCAATCTAGCAGAATCCATTAGGCTATTTAAGAGGCAGGACCTCCGAGCTTAACGTCCATCTCCAAAAGGACCGAGCCAATAAATGGGAAATTCGTGTAAAGTGCCTTTCGCAAGGACACAACGTCGGATCGAGGTGAAGCTCAAAAACCCCGAACCCGCTATATCACGATCTTGGGTCCGGTGGCCTTACCATCTACCATCTATACCACTTCACGTTTGCTGTAAATATCACCACCATCTTCACCACTTTGGCTGGACGTATAACCAAAACCATCATCGCTGACTACAATTCTCATTTGTCTTGCCGTAACTACCAGCACCACCATCACAACCAACATTCAATCAATCCCACCACCAAGAGAAGGAAATTTTAGATCTAAAAATAGTGCTAGAGTTTACAATTAAGATTGTTGCACATGATGTTCTGCACCATCTTCAGGTTGTTCTCATCCGGCAAAAGGGACTGATAAGCTTTCGGCGTGCACGACTGCGACAGCGCCAGGGAACAGTGAATAGCAGCGTCGTAAGCAGCACGGTTTCTGTGGAAAGATGAAACAAAATTATTGCTATCTAAAATAGAGTGCCGCTTGTTATTTACATGCCCTATACTGAACGTGATAGCATCGACCATTCTTGCGAAGTTTTTTCAGGCTCTCTACCATTTGACCGTACTCAATTTGATTTCTGCCTGACATATTATGTAGCAACGGAAGAGAGACGCCAACACCACTCTGGCCAGATTGTTTCAGACTCTCTTCCATTTGACCGCACTCAGTTTGATTTCTGCAGTGCAATATAAGATCTTGTTTTCTTCGTGTCTGGATCTAGATCTAGGACAAAAACCAAAGGCAAGTGGGTCTCCTTAGCGGAAAGTTTGGGGACGGTTTATATTTTTTGCCTCCGTAAGATAGATAGATAGATAGATAGATAGATAGATAGATAGATAGATAGATAGATAGATAGATAGATAGATAGATAGATAGATAGATAGATAGATAGATAGATAGATAGATAGATAGATAGATAGATAGATAGATAGATAGACATATGGATAGATAGATAACGCCAACACCAGATGTGGGACAGAGTGGATGCCCCCAGGAGTTGAATTCAAGAGTTAAAAGCCGACAGACAGACAGACAGACAGACAGACAGACAGACAGACAGACAGACAGACAGACAGACAGACAGACAGACAGACAGACAGACACCATATAATCGACAAATAGATACCATATAATCGACAGACGACATAGGTGCTACTGACTTGCAGACGACCTCGGGTGTGGAGGTCAAGGCGTTGGCTACTGACGTCTGCTTGATGTGGTCTGGGTTGTTTGGGTCGTCTGGCAAGTGAAGGACCAGCCCCTGGTCGCTGTAGCATTTCATCTCCGCGTTTTTCATGCTCAGGGGGTTGTAGCAAACTGGGGGGAACGATTCCGTTTGGCATTGGGAAAGCCCAATGAAGGCTGAGAGAGGAAGAACAAGAGTTATGTCAGTTGAGAGTTTATTCAAAGCACTCCGGTATTTGGAGGATGTACAAAATGGTGGAAAACACATTTTTCTGATTAAATTGAGTCGATATCATATTGGCTTTTAACAGTTTGCTTTCACTGGCAAAATTGAAGCTAAACGAGGAAAGGGTAGACCTAGAGGAACATATCTGGAAAAAAGTGAACAGATGGGTGACGAGGAAATACAGCACAATATGTAATAATTTTAAGAGCATCCGAATGAAGAAATGAATAGAGAACTATTATAGCCGATTCTGTCTCCGATTTAGCATTTCATTCTGATCATATTGACACAACATGGTTTGTTACCTTCAATCAACTGTGCTCGGTTGTTTGCATCTTTGTTTGCTTGTCCTCTTTTTTAAAATTCTTCTTGGTTTGTTCTGTCTAATCAAATAATCTCAAGAGGACAAAAGCCTGAAGGATAATGATAACGATATCCTTGGGACGCCTTTAGATTTGAATCGTCTAACTGTTCAATAAAGAGCGCTACATAGCTTTGGATGCTCCTGTTGGCTAAGGTCGTGTTTTTGGGCTCAAGTTCTACAAAAACCGATTGCT